TATACCAGGGGCTGACCAGAGGTGGATCCAAGGTAGAACTGCACAATTCTGCCAGTTTTCCCTTGCCGTTCTGTATTTTCCTCATTTTAAAAGGGCATGGGCCAAGGGCTTCTTGCTCAAGATTTAGAACTATGCTTTCTGCTTATAGGTGTTTCTTTTTTTTTTTTTAGTCGTCAATGGACCTTTATGATTTAATTTATTTATAGGTGGTGCAGAGAATCGACCCCAGTGTCTCACACATGCTAGGCAAGTGCTCTACAACTGAGCTCTAGCCCCAGCCCCTGATCCTTTAAGATTCCCTATTTCTCTTTCTTTATCTTAAATCCCTATCTCAGGCCCAACATAGACTGACCCTCTGAAACCCTAAGCCAAAATAAATTTTTCCCCTCAAAGTTATTCTTGTCAGGTATTTTGTCACAGTGACAAAAAATTGACTTACACAATTGTAGATGCAAAAATTCAAAACCAGAATTTTAGCAAATTAAGTCCAACATATAAAAATGAAAGTATATCAAAATGTGTTGAGGGCTGGGGTTGTGGCTCAATGAGTAGAGTGCTTTCCTAGCATGTGAAGGCTCTGGATTCAATTCTCAGCACTGCATCTAAATATATAAATAAATAAATAAACTCATAAAATAAAGGTTCATCAACAATTAAAAAAATTTTTAAAAAAAAGATGTATTGAAGTTTATCCCAAAAATGTAGGCCTGGTTTAATAGTCAAATATCAATCACCCTATTTACCACATTAACAAAATGAAAAACAAAACTATTTAGTTATCTGTGGCTACAGAAACAGAGTTGGACAAGGTCAATCTCTTTTGTGTGGCACTGGGGATGGAACCCAGGGCCTCTTGCATGCTAGACAAGTGCTCTACCTCTGAGCTACTTTCCAAGTCCCTAGTATTTTAAAATTTTATTTTATTTTTCAGTTCTGGGGATCGAACCTGGAAGCACTCTACTATGGAGCTACAGCCCCAGTCCTTTTTTTATTTTTTATTTTGAGACAGGGTCTTGCTAAATTGGCCAGGCTGTCCCTGAACTTGCAATCTCCTGCTTCCATCTCCTGAGTTGCTAGGATTACAGGTGTGTGACCCCAAGCCCAGCACAATATCCATTCTTGATAAAAACTCTCAGTAAGGAATACTCTCAACTTGATAAAGGGTCTTTATCAAAAATATATATTTCTTTCTCTTCCTCTCCCCCTTCTCCTCCCTCATCCCTACCCTCTCTTAATCTCAAGGGAAACAGGATTACTTTTCTTTCCCATCCTAGGCAAAATTATCTGTCCTTAAGCACACACCTAGCACTCCAATCAAGTAACTCAGATTTAAGAGTTGGCACCAGCAGATCTAGGAAATGACTACCTGTCAAGTTAACAAGTGAATTACAAATCTGGACAGGGAATATCAGGAATGTATCCTTTGAATCACCTCTTTAAAAATCCCCTGATCTCTCTGATGGAGAGAATCACACCTCTGGGACAGAAGTCTCCTGTGTTTCTCCTTTGCCTGCAAAGCAATGAAACTAACTTTATTTATTTATTTTTGGTACCAGGTACTTTACCACTGAGAGATATCCCCAGCCCTTTTTATTTTTTTGAGATAAGTTCTCCCTAAATTGCTTACAGCCTTACTAAATTGCTGAGGCTGGCTTTGAACCTGTCAATCTCTTGCCTCAGCCTTCTTACTCATTGAGATTACAGGTGTGCACCACTGTGCCTGGCAATAAAACTTCTTTTTCCTTTTTCTCAAAACTGTGTCCTTGTTATTGGATTGGCATTGGCTGAGCTTTTGGTAATAATATCATGGTGCCAATGAGAGTAGGCACAAAAATTTGGGGACAGAAATTAGTGTGCTGTATTTGTTGTGTTTGGGGTCCAAAACAATGTTGGGATATCCAACTGAGTATTCACAGTTAAATAGATCTGGAGCTCAGAAAAGAGATCTCAGGAGCCTCTTAGGAGTAATTTATTTTTTAAATAAGTGCTAAAGGGAAACAGGTGAAGAGTTAAGATGAGAAGGGGGCTAGAAATGCAAATACTGAAGAACACAACAATGAATAGGGAGGATATGGATAAGGTAAAAAAGGCAATTAAGAGTAATCATAGTATGAAAAGATGCCACTATGGAGCACTGTAAGGGAAATAGTTTCAAGACAGCAGGGATCAACAGAGTCCAAAGTCCAAGAGGAACTTCAACAGGGATCCTTGTGTATGCTGAAATTCTTAATAAACACAAGTGACCTCTAGAAATCATTTAAAGTAGACATTATCTAATATGGATGAGAGCTAGCCAATCCTCTATGTCAGCACATCACCTCACATTCCATGCCCTCAGGGGTGAACATTTAGGCAAGCTGAGACGCTCCTATTGGCTACCAGAGTATTCTCCAGATTGTTCACACAGACTCACCAAGACAACCCAGTATCCATGACTTTGGAGGGCTCCAATATTTATTTTTCAGATCAAAAAAAGGTAGGTGGAATATTTTGAGTTTAAACCTATTCTTTTCCAGGTTGGGTAACCTTTACTTCTGTATTGAGAAGCATATTAATTCACTCAAACTTAATTTTCTCCTCTGTATCAGGGAGATAGAAATACCAATTCTCTTTTATTTTTAAAAACTTTTTTTTTTTGGCACTGGGGATTGAATGCAGGGTGAGTTAAATCCTCTATCCTTTTTATTTTTTAAGACAGGGTCTAGCTAAGTTGCTTAGGACCTGGCTAAGGTGCGAGCCTGGCCTCCAACTTCCTACTATCCTTTCTCACTCTAGGAGGTGTGCTCACAGTGCCAGGCTAAGAAACTCCAATTCTAGATTAAGGTGGATTTTATAAGCATGGGCATTTCTCTCTGAATCTCTCTCTTTTTTTGGTGCCAGGGATTGAACCCAGGTGTGCTTAACCACTGAGCCACATCCCCATCCTTTCTTATTTTATTTATTTATTTATTTATTTTTAAATTTTGAGACAGGATCTCTCCAAATTGCTGAGGCTGGCTTTGAATTTGCAATCCTCCTGTCAGCCTCCTCTGCTGCTGGGATTACAGGTGTGCGCCTCGGGTAGCAACGCATGAGCCCCCTGTATGGAAAGAGGTGGGTATTTGTAGAAAGGTTTTGTTAGGGGAAGAATTTCGAGAGTGTTAGTGTCAGTCAGGTGGCGCACACCTGTAATCCCAATGGTTTGGGAGGCTGAGACAGGAGGATGGCGAGTTGAAAGTCAGCCTCAGCAAAGGCAAGGTGCTAAACAACTCAGGGAGACCTCTCCGAATAAAACACAAAATAGGGCTGGGGATGTGGCTTAGAGGTCGAGGGCCCCTGAGTTTAATCGCCTCTACCAAAAACAAAACTGTTAGTGTCGTTTAGACCCCAATTTGAGTCCCTGGATAACGAAATTCAAGGCAATACTTGTTTTGATAGGTAGGCAGAGGACTGCAGCTCGCTCTCTCCAAAGATCCTAATAAAAATAAAAAGTTTGTTTGCTATATAAATAGAGCTGCAAGAGCAGTCTCTTGGCTCAGCAGCCTATCCAAAAGCTGCTCCCCAACTCCATTCTTTTGGAAATGCTGCTCCTGCTGTGGCTACTTCTCCAGCCCGGCATCCATTGGGGATTGAACCCAGGGGCGCTTTATCACCGCACTACACCCAGAGCTTTTTATGCATTTATATATTTTAAAATATATATCTTTTTTAAGTTGTAGTTGGACATGTCTTTATTTTATTTGTTTATATGTGGTGCTGAGGATCAAGTCTCACACGTGCCACTGAGCCACAACCCCAGCCGCATCGCTTTTATTTTGAAACAGGGTCTCGCTAAATTGCTGAGGCTGACCTCCAGCGGTCCTCCAGCCTCAGGCTCTCGAATCGCTAAGACTACAGGAGTGTGCCACTGCTCCTGGCTATGGGCCTTTGGATGGATCGAATGGTCCAGTCCCACACTGATGCCCCCTGATTGACCACGAGACTTTTCGAAGCAAGCAGGACGCGGCCAGAGCCCCTCCGGTATCCGGCAGCCGCCGAGGGCCCCCAGTGCAGCTCTGCAGAGGCGTGC